ACGGAAGTCAAACAAAATCACTGAAACTCGAAATAGCAACAATACTGACACACAATAGAAAATTGAAACAGTCACTGAACAATGCGTAGATCGCGTACTATGAAGTCGAACGTGACAAAAATAACACACCTCCAGTTTTTACCGTTACCGGATCACGCTGATACGCTGAGAGATATCATATACATGACACTAGCTATCCCATGTTTCGGCATCCCGGAACACGAAAACAAAACGGGTAACACACAAAGAAGTATGATCGTTCAAAACGCAGCGATATGCTCTCTTCGAAAAAATATTGGAAACCTTCCGCAAAATCCGCAACAGCGAGAAATATCGTTTCAAAGTTGATCATTATATATTCAAAAACTATTTGAGGTAAACACTAAGACATTCAGTTACTTGTAACTCCCCTGATTCTTGGTCGCTTCTTAACATTTTTACACAGCTGCAAAGGTCAAAATGTCCAGAACGCATCTCCCGTTTTTAAAAAAATATCGGATCCGTTTTACAAGAAATGCGCAATTTCCGAAGAAGCGCGAAGTGTGCAGAATATCCAGTGTTCGGTAAACTTCGATGGTGTCTATGCCAATGCTACAGAGCGTGGCACACATAGCATATACAATTAAGCCGATTAACACCTTAAACAATAGACGTTGCGAGTCTGTTGTATTTCTAGTCTGAGATCAAATACACAATACTTTTAAATTTGGTTTATGTGCACTTCTATTAAAGATCCTTTTCTAATAAACCAAATCTGGTATTTAGTACAGGTACAGCCACTGTTCTTCTAAATCAACATTTATTTCAACACTGACAACTTTGATGTATTTTATATTTCTAGTGGTGAAAGAAGTCTATGCACCGTGTGTTAGGCTCATAGTGACAGATTCTGACTCATTAGACCTGGGTACGTTGTTCATTGTCACATGTACAGGGGGTACTATTGGAAGGTAAGTCTTACTTATGCATGGAATAGTTATTATCATAGTGTAATGGCATTACTTAACTCCAGAAAATTCTTTGATTGATTCTGAGTTTGAAATATATGTATTTTAATTATTTTCAGAGATGAGAAACACTGTATAGCTATACCAGACTTATCTGTCAGTAAACTACATGCAGAGATTGGATATTCCAAAGAAGATACAAAGTATTGGATTAAAGATTGTGGAAGTCAGAATGGAACTTTTCTCAATGATACGTCATTGACTGATGAAGTATGTTTTCTAATTATTCCCTTCCATGTACAATGATCTTATTTG